ACCGTCCAGATGGACGGTTCAGCCTCAATCGGCGGGCGGCAGCGTTAAGAGCGCCGCCAGGCCCAAACGAAGTGTCGTTTGGGCCTACCCGATGGGTGGCTGTCCAAAATCAGGCCTTTAGGGCCTGTGACCCTCAAAGGTCGGGCCTTTAGGCCCTGGTGTGTCCCTCCGGCCCTAAGTCGGGTCCGGTAGGACCCGTGTGACTCGAAGATGTAACAGGATAGGTGGGGTGGTTGGAGACTGTGGTGGAGTGATGATTGGTTCTTGGGGGGTGGGGGGTGGTGGAGGGGAGAGGCAGGATTGAAGGGGGGAGAGGAGTCTGAAATGTTTCGGTAGTGGAATGGTGGTGGGTGGTGGGTTTGGGGATGCTGTGTCTATTTGGCTTGAAACCCTAAACCCTGGACCATATTCTATCTGTATCGGTCTAGTTCTAGCATGGGTTGCGTTCAAAGATCTGCTAACTAACTAGCTATGTTGGCCGTCTTGTTTGTCTCTATGTTTCTTAAAAACCTTTTATCCCTGGATTCTTCGTGTTTTATGGGTTTTGAAACCTGTTTTCTATTTGCTTCTTATTTCGGTGGTCTGTTTTTTCCGTTTTTATCTCTTCTTTTTCTTTGAATTTTCTGCTTCGTAGAGTTGGTGCCTTTTCCTGGGTCGGACTGCTGATTTATAGGGTACCTTTGTTAGTAGTTTGGCATCTGGTTCATTCTTTGCCTCTAGTCTTTAGTTCTACTATCATCTCTTAGCCTCGTGGGTTTGTTTTAACAGTTCCTGTTTTCCCCATTTTCCTGTGTCTTTCTTGGTTCCTTAATGCTCGTCAGCCTTGTTTGAACTTTCCTCCTGGCGTTCCTCCGAGTTCTGTTGCTCTAAGTCCCACTTATGAAACTGCAGGTATCTGTCCTTTATTTCTGCCATTTTCTTACTTAATAACCATTTTTCTTCGAAAGTTTTCTGACTGAGTTTTCTCTTTTGGGGATCCGTTAATCTTTCCTGTTTCCTGAGTCCCTTTTTCCATTGTGCCCTGATTTCTGTTTCTACTATTTCTTTTGTCTCCTTCCATTCCCCGTCCCTTGTTATACTGTTGTTCCCTAGAGTTCCCTTGCATCTAGATTTCCATATGACCCATAGTGCTGCTCTTCTTAATAGGTCTGCTATAGTTTTCTCTTCTTCAGACAGATTCCCTTCCCTGTCTCTTGCTGATAGTAGGTAGTCGGCTTGTTCTGGGTACGGGTTCAAGGAAATGTTGGACCAGGACGCCTTGACTAATTCCCATAGAGTAGTTGCATGTGTACACTCTATCAAGCAATGAACGAGCGACTCCACTTTGTTATCCCGACACATTTTGCAGTGGAAGGACTGTGCCGTCCTTTGATCTTCCCTTCTACATGAGTCCAGCCATTCATTGACTGGGACCGCCCAGTAGAGAATCAGCCACCATAGGCTTCTGAATCTAGGGGGTTTTAAACTACTGTAGTAATCCCATTGAATTTCGGCCGGCCACCCGTGTTCCACTCCTAGATGTTTGGTCCATCTTTTAGATATGACTGGGCGTGGGTCTTCTGTCTTGTTCCTTATTTTGTAACCTATCTTTACCCCGTAGTCTTGCAAATTGATTAGTTTTCTAGCTCTTCCTCTGCCCAGCTTGATAAACCACCCCCACTCCGCTGGATCTACCTCTAGCTCGCTGATGTCTTTGTCAGGTCTGAATATTAGCAGGTTATTGGGTGTGTGTCTGGGTGAGGACGGCGCCCTGCCGGGCGTGCCCGGGGGGGCCGCCCGGGCAAACCGGGCGGCCCGAAAAACACCCGAGAATTTTTATTTTTTTTTCCTGAAGGCGGGGTCTTTCCGTGCTCGGTGAGAGGACCCCGAATCTGCAATAAAATTTCGGGTTTGGAGGGGGGGGTGGTGGCTGGGGGGGGCTCTGCATGCATGTTGCCTGCTGAATGCTGAATGCAGGTCATCTGATATGTGCAGTGTTGGGGGCTCTGCATGTTTGTTGCCTGCTGC